GAGAGAGGCGACCAGGTCGCCGAGTCCGGCTGCCGCGGGGAAGAGGAGGCGGAATAGCAGCTCGTCGAGGTCGAGGTCGCCGGTGCCGGTGAAGAGGGGGCGGGTTTCGAGTTAGATGCTGAGACTGCCCGTGCTGAGGGGGAGGGGTGTGAAGCGTGAAGCTCGTGGGACGAGAGGAAAGACTGAGAGAGGGGAATAGGAGCTGGGAAAACGAAATATTAGTTTTGTATCATATTTGGCGATGCATTATTTGGCATGCGGGCGAACTAGAACTAGCTCTAGAATGGTGAATGCATGAGTTAGACAAAAGGACGACGGTCTATTGGCTGTGTTAACTATCAGGTACTCTGATATGGTGACTTATATCTCTACAACAACATCAGCTTGAGGCGCGACGCTATTCCCCCCTGCGCTCGGCTGGCCTCGTGAGTCGAACATCCGCCATTTCTTAAGACGACTGCCCGTCTCCGAGTTGCCATCGCCGAGGCTCGCGTGGCTTGTAAGGGTTGTGGTATCGCCACTGCTCATCCAGCAGCTTGAAGTAGTCCTGCGATGTCACACCCGCCCTGTCGATCTCGGGCTCCTGTACCCCGTCATCTCCTCTCCACCTCCTGACAAACGCCGTGTCAAGCTCGCTCTTCCGAGTCAACGCCTTGCAGTACCCATCCTTCCAGCTCGGCAGCACCATGGCGCCCCTGTCGTTTGCATCAAGCGTCGTGCCCCAAAGACTCACCCCCTCACCGTCGATCAGTTCCTCGGCACACCGCCTCACCTCCTCCACGTCCACCTCGCCGTCCACGCCTCGCACATAAACAAGCACCGTCCCCCTCCCCTTCTTGACCCTGACATACCGATACCTCGCCTCCCTCCCCCTATCATCCTCCGCCCGCCCCGTCTCGGCATCCCACACAACCCTCAAACAAAACCCACACCCATTCCTTCTACACCCCTCACACATCGCCTTACCCGCGTTCCTCCTCCTCTCAAGGCTACACATCAGCCCCTTCACCTTACACCTCAAACACCTCCCCCCCACATCCCTCTTCCCCTCCCTCCCCGCAAAATAAACCGCCCTCTCGACCCGCACAACATCAAACCTCTCCGTCCTCTCCCGTCTCATCTTCGGATCAGACGTCCTCACCAGCCCCATCCCCTTCCCCTCCGTCACCTCCCCGGCAAAAACCGGTATCCCCCTCCTCCCATCCAACGGATCCTCCCTCACAGGATGGTCCATGCAAACCCTCCCATACCCCCACGCTGTATTCGGCGTCCCGCTCAAGACAGCCACACACGCCGGCGCAGCCGGCCTATAATAACACTCCTCCGGCAGGAGCGCGGGCGTGCCCCAGCTGACGAAGGGGTCGGTGTCGTCCCACCTCTCATATCTTTCCTCTGTATCCTTTACCTTCTTGGCTTCTCGGGCAGCGTGTAAGGCGGCGAAGCGGACCTGCCGCACGGCCGCGGCTGACTCGGCCCATGTGGCCAGAGTCAAGGGGTCGCTGACCTGGTGCTGGGCGCGCACGAGCTTGAGGCGCTGGCGGATGTGGTCTGCTTGCGAGAGGGGGGAGGAGACGGCGGTGCCTGTGAGGGGGTCGCGGGGGTAGGGGGTGGGTGAGGGGGGTGGTGGGGAGGGGAGGGTGTTGAGGGCTGTTAGGAGGGGGAAGGTGGGGAGGGGGGGAGGGGACATCGGTGGTAGTGAGGCGGGTGGTTGAAGGTTTGATGTGGTGGTGGGAGTGGGAATGGGGAGGGCTTACCTTGGTTGAGTACCTTAGATGAGTTGATGGTGTTGTGTGACTGTAGACGGGTATTGTTGGATGTCTGTCGGTGGAAGGTCTGTTAGAGGTGCTAGCAGAGAGATTTGTTTGACGAGACGTTGCGGAGGATGCAATACACCATCACACTGAGGTTTATATGGTGATAGGAGCCCCTGACGGCTCATAATGGACAAAGGGGATGTACCAAGGGGCTCTATGGTGAAATGGGCGACAAAGACATATACGGCTACTGAAGAACTGGACAATGCGCTTGTCATATCTGGAACAAAGACGACCACCAGACATTGTGATAGCACCCTTGATCAGATCGCCTTTGGCAAGGCGAGGACAGCACGGCCCAAGAAACCATTCGACAAGAAACTGTATCTGCGTGTCTGAGAACCATAGGAGTCAAGCAACCAAACAGAAGCAAGAACAAGAGAAAGGAGAAATCCATATTCCACCCTGCCCTACCTATACTTTTAGGCCGACCCTGTCAAAGACCGCCGACCAAGCATACCTTACCCAACACCTCGACACAGGGCTCCGGGCCAAGAGAAAGATATCGTTTCAATTCATCACTCACTCCGCACGCAGTACAACCAACACCGAATAACGACACGCGAGACCGCCCGCTCGTTCCCACCTACACTCACCGCTTCCAGACTCGAACTCCAACCCCCCTTAGCGAACACACACACCCCCTACCTCTCCACCATCGACAGAACACCCCGACCTCACGACCGCGCAGCCTCAAGCTCCAGCTCCAGCTGCCTGATCCGCTCGCTCTGGTCCTGCGGCGCGGCAGGGCCGTTGCCGACCCTCTTCTTGAGCGTCTCGACCTCGGCGGTCAGCTGGCCGATGCGCTCGCTCTGCGTGCTTATTATCTTGGTCTGCTGCTCGAGGAGGTGCTTGATGGTCTCCAGGGTAGACTCGACACTCGAGCCGGCCGACGCGGCGGTGGTCTGGGATACGGGTTTGGGTTGGGACACGGGCTCGGAGGCCTTTGCCGTCACGGGGGACTTGATCGGCGACGAAGGCGCGGGCGCCGGCTTGGCGGGCTGCACCGAGGGCGTCGGCTTGGCTTGGGCAGGGGCGGCTACTGCTCGTTGGACGGGCTTGGGGATCTCCTCGAAGCTGGACGTCTCGGCGTCGTCGTCGTCTTCCGAGGAGGATTCGTCCGCCTTGTACTTGTCTGCCATGGCGGAGATGGAGGCCTTCTGGTCGGCCGTGGAGGGCGGCGGGGCGGCGCGCGCGACGACCGGTGCTGGTTTCGGCTCTTCCTTCTTGGGGGCGGCGGGCTTGGACACTGGCGCCGGGGCGGGGGCGGGCTTGTACTCGGATGCTGCGACCTCGACCGGGACGTTGCCGTCGTAGATGCTCTCGAGGTCGATCTTGGGCGGCAGGCCTGTCTTGCCGTTGAGCCACTCCAGGGCCGAGACGGCGGGCTTGGTGCCCACGGCGGGAGGGTAGATGTCGGACTGGAAGGTCTCGGCTCTCCTGGGCACGGTGAAGGAGATGGGCTCGATGTAGGAGTCGTTGACCGTCTTGTAGGCGCGCATCACCTCGTTTTCGTGGACCTGGTGTTGTTAGTATAAGGTTACGAGCTTGTGACATGTCTGTAACTCACGTTGATGCCGCGCCTCGGCAGGAAGGCGATGCCTCTCTGCGGCTCGCCAGATTTGTGCTCGGACAAGAACTCGAACTTGTCGTTCTCGTACTCGAAGTAGCGGATGTTGCCGTCACTGTTGCTCGTCAGCTCGCCTCCTGCTTTACTGGGACGATGAAAACTCGCTTACCCTTTACCAGCCAAGTACAGACAGTTCGAGCCGTCGTCCCAGAAGGGCATGCACACGCCCGAGATGGAATCAAGCATGGTAAACCCCCCGATGGGGTCCTTCCGGCCGGGCTCCCACAGGCCGATCTGCCGGTCGCTCATGCGCGAGAAGCCCGTCGTGGCGATGCGGTTGTGCTCGCCCATCCACACGGCGCGGCTGTTCTTGGCGCCCTCGTGGCCGGGGTACTCGTGGACCGGCTTCTCCTGGCGCACGTCCCAGACGCGCAGCTTCTTGTCGCGCGACGTCGTGACCATCAGGCCGCCGTCGGCGCTCCACGACAGGCTCTGCACGATGTCGGCGTGCTTGAGCGTCAGGTGCGACTGGCCCGTGCCGATGTCCCAGAGCTTGATGGTGAAGTCGCCCGAGGCCGAGGCGAGCACGTTTTCCGCTGCCGGGTTGAAGAGGACCTGGCCAACTTTTCTGCGGGAGGTGTTAGCGAAGCTGTCTTCACGACTATGTCTTGCGCCCGTCGTGCCGGGAGACGCACCTTGAATGCCCTGTCAGCTTCGAAAGCGGCGCCACATCCTCTGGCTCTTCGGCATCGGTATGGAGTGTAAAGCCCTCGGGCACCTCCCATATGAAGACCTTGCCATCGTCGGAGCCGGAGGCGATGATCCGATCGTTGAACGGGTTCCAGTCGGTGTCGAGGACGGCGGCGGTGTGGCCGCGGAAGAGCGGTATTTGGTCGGGGACTTTGCCCTTCTCGTTGAGGGGGATGACGGCGAAGGCGCCACCGCCGCTGGACTCCCAATTGACCGAGAGGTACTCCGGGTTGGCCTGAATGTCGATGGCACGTGTCAGCTTCGGAGCTATGCTACAGCGACTCGAGAGAGAAGAGAGCCGTCTATACCTTTACGAGATTGGTATCCCAGGCATTCCGGCTGATGTGCAGGTTGTCATAGCAGAACTCTTTCCTCGTCGGTTTGCCAAAGACGTGTCCTGCGTAGATATGAATCACTCGGTCAGCAAGCTGTGCCAGCAGGCGCAAAGCTTAAGTCTAAGCTCGCCCTTTGTCCTTCGGATTCGGGGGGAGCTCACGGTACTTCGACGCGCGCACGAAGCGGCCTGCCATGGGTCAGGATGTCGAATTGATGTATAGCAGGTGTAGTGGTCTCCAGTCGATGACGAGTGGCGTCGATGTCGTCAAGCGTATTGAAGAACACGGCGGGCGGTCGTGGTGTTTTGTTACTGAGCTCAGCTTCGTCGGAGTTGAGGCGCAGGCTAAAGCGGCCCCGCTTACCACAAAGTTCCAGCCCCTGAAGCTCCCCCCGGTCCAACCGTTCCCACCGTCCCACTGTAGGTCCGCAGGAGGTGAGCACAAAACCCGCACAATGTAACGGGCGTTAGACACCGGTCTTCTCATTCGCAGGCCCCCTAGACTCTAGTCTAGTGGTTATCACGCCTTGCAGGCCGCCTGGTGTAGTGGTTATCACGTGTCGTTCACATGAGAGTGTGAACAATTTTCCGACAAGGTCCCCGGTTCGATCCCGGGGGTGGTCATTTTGATGCTCTCGTTGTTGGAGCATCACTTTTGCTGAGTACTGGCGTTTCTTTGCACGAGTGTGGACAGCTGCAGCCCCTTGTTAACAGGCTGGCAGCAGGCTGGCAAGTGGCAACAGGACTGTCAGGACTGTCAACAGGCTGTTTTGAAGAATAATTGTCCTGACATTCACAACGTATTCGAGCTGTAATGTAAATTTTACCCTAGATGCGACACTTATATGAGACCTCTGCCAGCTCATTGCCAAACGTCTGGCGGTGGTACAATAATCGGAGACCTGGACCCGGACACGCGTCTTGCTGTGGTCACGGGAAGTTCTTCCGTCCCCAGGCAAGAAGAATTAGAGAGATATCTCCTTGTCCAGTTCATATTTACAAGCTCGCTATTGTGTACAAGTTCACTCTCACCGACCTCATGACATGGTAACACTTCCTACACAACGAGCATTTGCGAATCTTCATAACCTAAGCTAGGTCTTATTTATCACATTGATCAAAGTCATGACCTTCGCTTCTAGGTGCTTCATAGTGTTACGACGACTCGCCGCTATTTCCACTGGGCTCTTCTGTGCGAGTGCCTCCAGCCTGTCGGACAGTGGACCCGATGCAGGGTCAGACCTCCTGTACTCTTCCAGAAGCACAGCCGGCACTTTCGATTGTGAAGTATATGTATTCGGAGTGTGCCTACGACTGTGAGTTGGTGGTCTCCGCGCCAGAACTTTCCTTTGACGGGAATCAAAGATGAACACTCACTTTTCATCGTCACTCAGAAGAGCGGAAGGGCATAAGGATCGGTATGGCATCCTTGTGTCAATAGCGGTTGACCGTTGGTGAGCATGGCAGCGACAGACGACGAAGCCTTCATGTTGCGTCCCCTTACATTATTTATGTACTCTTGAGGTCTGTGAATCTACCCCGTCTCCTACCTGTTTCTGGCCATCATTCTCAGTGTCCAGGCAAGTTCTGCTCTGGATGTGTTTCCTTTGGCGCATAGCACGGGAGGAGCATGTGCTTCTCTTCTCTCCCAGAAGGCCCCGGCTGCCCAAACACGCACCTGAATTGGCCAACCAACCGTGGGGTAAGCGCACACGCCTCATAGCAGTTGTGCGCTTCAAGGCGGTGGTGCTACAACCCAGCTTTTATAATTTCTTGCAGGTATGGTAGTTATATGTATATCTTATTCCTTTGCTTATCTCACACCTAGCTGCGAGAAACAATACTACGGCATATTTCTACCGACCGGTCCATCGCATTGACACACCCGCACCGAACGCAATGGCTAGCTTTCGCGCCTCGGAAGACATTGAGACTACCGCATCTGATATCTTGGCGCTCAAGGCTCAGCTTGGGGCGGAAGATTTGGATCAAGATCAAGATGATTCCGAATCGTCTGATGACGATGATGAGTGGGAGGAAACTATCTTCATGCCCTCCATGTCGTCAGAGCAGTCACCGACAAGCATACAACTGCCTACGTGGTACAGCCGGCATGTCGACACACATCCCTTCATCTCTGCTGATCCGTCCATCGTGCACGAATTGCTGGCTGAGTTCAAGGCATGGAAGCATCACGCCGACGATGGAGGTGGAACGTCAGGCAGCGCAAGCACAAGTAGCGAGGCAAACAACCAGGACACGGCGGATACCAGGACACCCTCTGGGGCCCGTGCGAGGAAAAGAGGTGCTGAAGCCGGCGAAGATGAAGATGATAGTGAGGAAGATCAAGGAGGGTCCAGGAAGCGATCCAAGAAGCCCAGGTTGCCTGGAGAGCGTCAACGACTTTTGGCCTGTCCATTCGCAAAAAAGGATCCACGAAAGTATCGTGAATGCTACAGGTTCAGGATAAAGAGGATCCAAGATGTCAAAGCACACCTCCGCCGCCACCACGATCAGCCGATATACTGCCACTGTTGCAAAGACAAGTTCAAGAGTGAAGCAGATTTGCAGATACACGCAGAAGCGAACTGTTGCTCCCCACGTCGCGAAGTCGTTGAGGGGGTCGACAGAGATCAGAAAGCGAAGCTGTCCAAGCCAGTTCCTCGTGGATGTCTAGAAGATCAATGGTTCTACATCTTCGACATACTCTTTCCTGGGTTCGAACCGAAGCCGCGATCGCCCTATGTTTCGGATAATCTGGAACCGGCCTTCTCAGCGTTCCGTGATTACATGGCCAATGACGGAGCAATGGTGCTGATGGGGATACTACAAGCCAGGGGACTCGTAACAACATCAGCAGGGGATGAAGGACAGCTGCTTCTTGCAGCGCTGGCTGAGGGCCAAGAAGCAATCGCGAACGAATGGAACTCGACACGGGCCGAACCATTCTCGCACTTCACTATTGCCGGCATGCCGCCACCAGGTAATACTCACACAGCACATGTACCACACAAAACCCGAAATGCTGACATAGATAGCGGCGGATAATATCCTACCATATGTGCCCGATGAGCCCCGGTCGGTTTCCGTACCCGGTCCAAGCGACTACCACCGAATGGTGTTTGATGGGAACGTCGAGCAAAAGTACGGCACCGAAGCTCCTGAGGAAGATATAGACCTATTCGATCAATTGATCTTCCCGGAAGGTGGAAATGAAGCGTGGTTGGGGGAGACATGGTTTCCAGACCTGCAAAGCTGTGATTTGGACGGTGTGCCATCGTAGGCACGTCTTTTGAGCTGTACCTTTCCCTTTCCTTATCACGTCTGCGCAGATAGACTGGTCGGATCACAGGACCGATATTTGTTACAGTACAATAATCTAGACACTAGGTGCAGACAGACCCTCATGGCAAGCCATCAGACCATATGAAGCGGTGATGCCGACTCATGGGCCACCACCAGCCAAAGCAAGAGCCTCTGGAAATGCGCAAAGACGAAAAGTCATTTGGTACAATACAAGCCCTGATCTCATTCCCTCTTGCCTCCCTTCCCATCCATTCCGCTCGAAAGCCTAAAATGACGCCGCTCAAAAGGACAAATCCATGCTCTCGTGTCTCCTTCCCGGCCGAGAAGCGGCCAACTGTGTCTCCTCACTTCCCACAAAGAATCAAAAGGGTAGGCCGCATATACCAGCGACCACAGACCAACTCCTTGTGTGTCTTCAACGCCAAGTGCGCCAGACGGCCAAAGGTGCCGCCTCTCTCAACACGAATTCCAGCCAGCCCTCTCTCTACCTGATTTTGCGTCGCTTCGAAGGCCCCTACTCCTCGTCGCTCTGGACGCCGCTGCTTCCACCGTTCACCTGACTTGCGCCGTTGGAGTTCGACACCAACTTGATCCTCGTCGGACCGTTTGATGTTGGCTGAGGCGTGCCTGCGCCGGTAGATGGAGCAGCCGACGTGTTCTTGGTCGCTGACTCGTCCTCTAGCTCAGCCAGCTCCGGATGCTCGCCAAGCTCCTTCTCGTATTGCTGATTGAAAAAGCTCTGGAATAACAACATTAGTACACTGATCACTAAGTCAAGGTCTGGCGCCGGGTATTACTCACCTCCATGGTATTAGCATCGGTATAGAGCATGCTGCCATCCTCGTTGTAGGTCCTGCAGTTGTTGACCAGCAGCTGGACGTCCCTCCGCATGTCGCTCAGCTTCCTGTACTCTCCCTTCTTCATCTTCTTCTCGATGTCTTTCATGCAGATTGGGTTCTGAATGAGGATGTAGTAGTCGCCATAGTCGCGTTTCGAGGGAAGCTTGACGAATGGTCCGATGATGAGACGCTTCGGCGGCTCGTCGTCCTCATCATCCTTGTCGTCCTCATTCTCTGGCTCCGGATCGTCGACCGCCAGATTCATGAGGCCATCGTAGAGTCTGCGCATACTCTTGTCCAGAGCATTCCGTACCTCGGGTGCCATACCGGTTCCATTGGCTTGAACAGCCTTCGGACGTCCCTGAGGTCCGCGTCTCTTCTTCGCCGGTGGCTCGTCTTCGCCCTCTTCGGCCTTGCGCTTCTCGATGTTCTTGCTACCCGGTTTCCGGCCGCGTTTAGGCTTGACTGGCGTCTCAACCTCCTCGGTACTAGCGCGGCTGGCTGATGGCGAGTTTTCCAACGATGCAGAACCTCCGGCGGCCATCCTCTTGAGCCGGTTCTGCTCGCGTCGCTCCTTGCGGGCCGCCTTCCGAGCAGCGGCCGCTTCCGGCGAATCGTCGTCGTCGTCGACAGCCATGAGCCATTGCTCTTCGGTGAGACCGTCGTCGTAGCGGACCTTATTGCGCTCGCGAGCTCCACGTCCAAGTATGACCTCCTCCTCCTCTTCGACGGGATTGCCATCCGAGAGGTAAATCTCGGGAAGCTCATCCTCCGTCATGAGACGCGGCACAGCCTTGCAACCAGGTTCTGTACCATAGGTGGGATCCTTGTACCGTTGCCTATCCAGTTCTGCGAACGTCACAAGTTCATCGTCATTACGTGCCAGGATCATGTTGAGTTCTTCGTCGTCCATCTCTTCTTGCTCCTGCGTCTCCGCCATGTCCGCCGTCTCCAGGAGGGTGCGCAGCATGGCATCACGGTCTGTCTCGGACGACTTGTTATCGAACCGACCGGCCTGGATGACCTTGCCGTCCATGTCAAGCTTGAACCTGGCTCGCTCCAAAATCTTCTCCTCCACGGACGAGGAGCTGATGAGTCGGAGAATGCGCACTTCGTTCTTCTGGCCGATACGATGGGCACGATCCTGAGCCTGCAAATCCTGGTGGGGATTCCAATCCGAATCGTAAATGATGACAGTGTCGGCAGTTTGCAAGTTCAGACCAAGACCACCGGCACGCGTCGACAGCAGGAAGATGAAGTAAGGCGAGTCCGGACGGTTGAAATCGCGAAGTAACTCGGACCGATCTTCCGATTTGGTCGTACCGTCAAGACGCATGTACTGGACCCCACGATAGCGGAGGAAATCTTCCATAATATCCATGATGGCCGTCATCTGGAAGAACATCAAGATGCGATGTCCCGTTGCCTTGTACTTGGGGAGAATCCGGTCCAGCAGTTCGAATTTGCCAGCCGTTCTCC